GTCCAGCGTACAGTGATTTGTAGGTGATTAAAATATTAGGGGGACATGTTAAGAGGTGTTCACAGAAAGTAAGTGGAGGATTGGGGTATATATGATCAAGATGTAAGATATACATCTATAAAATTGTTAAAGATAAATAAAAGATATTCCTAAAATGACAAAAAAGAAGATAAGGATGACGGAATCCCCCTTGGAGACAAGCAGCAGACAATAAGCAGCCAGGCATTGGCTATTCCTCAAACTGAGCACAGTGTCACCCTTCCTCTTAGTTCTACCAGGCTGTACCACTACTTTCACAAAAAATGAGTACACTAGAAAATCATTCTTCAATCAACTTGCTTCTAGTCAGACTACAGTGATGATATAAGGAACTAGTGTGTTAACATGTTTCTTTGGTTAAAATAGCTCTTTCTACATTTGCTTTTTGGAGGGCTGGGGAGTTGTATGATAGTGTGCACATCCTTTAACATTAAAATGGAACTAATAATACATGGTTCTATATAAAGTGACAAGCACCTTGTGTCCATTCAACTAATGATATTCATTATAGTATTATTATTAGTTAGGTATTATAGGAACTTTCCAACTTGAAATTATGGAGATAACTGAGCTTAGGAACAAGTGAAAAAATGCGATAGAAGTGTATCTATCACTCACTTACCCCTTCTTTTCATAAATAAAATAAAATAAAATAATTACTCTTAATCTTTAAAAATCAAAAAGGGTATGGTAGAAATGAATGACAATTTCTGGGCCTGAGCATTACGAGAAAGGCTGTTTTCATTTCCTGTTTCTTGTTTGCCCTTGATGAGGCAGGATAGGAAAGAAAGGGAAAATTAAGTGACCATGAGAGAAGAAAAGAAGCCATCCTTCCCTCAATTGGGTTGAGGTCTCTCATGGCTGAAAGTCAAGGATTTCAACACAGCTGATTTAATACCTCTTCTGAGAAAACCTCAAAAACCAAATTGTAAACTATATTCATGATAAAAATATATGTGCTGGCTGGGGAAATGGCTCAGTGGGTGAAACCCTTACCATGGTACATGGAGAGTGGGTGAAGTCCTTACCATGTTAGCATGAAGAGTAGGTAAAACCCTTATTGTGTTATCATGGAGACCTAAGTTTAGAAGTCCAGGACCTAAACAAAGCCAGGATGTCATCTCAGCACACCCATGACAAGATGGAAGGCAGAAATACTATAATCCTTGCCTGGTATATATCTCTACTGATCTATGTTTTTCTCAGTATCATTTTCTCTGTGAATTCAACTCCAGCCTGGTCTACAAAGGGAATTACAGGACAGCAAGAGCTGTATGTAAGACACTGCCTCAACAAAGCAAAACAAAAGAACATGAAATATACTTGAGCTGATAAAATGACTCAAGAGTAAAATTGTTTGCTGCCAAGCCTGAGGACCTGAGTTCCAGGTCTGATACACAAATGGTAGAAGAAGGGAATCAACTTTGGCAAGTTTTCTCTGACCTGCACATGCATTAGCATGTCTGTACACATACCCCCCACACACAAACACAAACACAAACACAAATAACTATAATAAAAAATAAGATACCCAAATATTTTAATTTACTGTTTTAAACTTTGATACAGAGTGTACCCTTTATAATAAACAATGTAATTTCTGATAGTCACAGAAACCATCTGTGAGGTTTATAAAGATGCTTGCCCACAGTTTTCTTTCCTAATAAGAGATAGAGTTCACCCTTCCAGTGTGTGATGTGTTGCTCTCTGTCCTTTCTTCTTAACAAACTCCATCTTGGCTTCCTACAGACTCACCATAAGTTCTTTTCTGTGCTATAAATCATGACCCTAACTTCCCCTGTGTAGAAATCTCTGGAAAGTCCTCCTCAGGCTATGTACCCAGCGATGTCCTGTTTCATGCACCATTGCTACTGCTAATGTGACCCCCTAGAACATAAAACCTATTCTACAAGAAGCTCAAGCCACATGGAAAAGTCATGTTAGATCTCTTCAACAATGCAGGTCTCTCAGTTGGTAGCTAACATAAAAGGGCATGGGAACAGGCCACCTTGTGTGTCCAACTGGGACAAATATTTGGTAGACTCTATCCAGATACTATATGAGAAAGAGAAATTACTGAGAAATCCTAAACAAGAACTGTTCACCTTTGTGCTAATTAAGTATGGGTGAGTGACCATAACAAGTAGTTGCTTTAAGTTAGTCAGTATAGGAATTATTCTGCACAGTAAAAGTGACTTAGCCCAGAATGTCTCCATAATATCAGTGTGATGGAAATGCAGATACTACTACAGATCTCCATAATCACTCTATTCTGTGTTAAGGGGATATTCAGATTTAAGTAAAACCCATTCTCAGTCTCCTAATAACTCATAATTCCTAAAGCTTTTACTCTTTAATGTTCACAAGGAATAGGGAATTCTCAAAATCCTTGAACATTTAAAACAAATTCTTAGAGGTCTATTGGCATGATAGTGAACTATATCGTTCAGTTAAAATATTAAGGCAATATTTATAGGAGTTCTCGAAAGCAGACTTTAGCAAAAGGACATGACTGGAAGCATTACGAAACTTACTAGGTTAAAGTAAGGTAAAAATAACTTTTAAATTGTTGTTAGAATCTCCAAAAGGAGTTGTTCATAGAACTTTTAATAAGGTTGTTTGGGGGGATGACTAGAAAGACAGGGGATGTTAAAGGATGTGGGAAGGAAAAGGAACCATCATTCTGCAGTCCTGAGGATGTCTTTCCCTGGCTGACAGTTAAGAATTCCAGCACAATTAACTCTTGCTGTGGAGGCTGCTGCCCACAGAGACAACCTTCCTTTTATATGGAGATTTTTCAAGTAAGAATATAAAACGATCTATTAACCACACTAAGCCCTGAGTCCTCATGCCTTCTGAATATGGCCAATACTCTTTACAAACTGAGATCTTACTGAGAATCTCACAGAAAAGAGTGTCAGCTCCATTTACAGCCAAGGCATTTCTGAACTGTCTTATACACCAATCCTAACCATGACACCTTAGGAACTTAATGATCTTTGAGTTCCTTAGTCATTCTTCAGGATGTGACTTCAAAATAATGTGCATGACTATTGTAAAAACACTTAGGAGGAATTCTCTTTTGAGGTGCCAGTACCCACACGGGGATGCCTGTTATCCCTTTAAAAAAAACTCTATTAACTCAGAAGGTTAAATCTGTTTTAAGAGCACTTCCTAATAAACTCTAACTATGCTCATAACTACTGGTTCAGACATTCTTTCCAACAATGAAGTCTAGTATCTGGGCCTCCCCTGAGTAGAGAGGTCTCTGGAAAGAGTTCTCAGGGTTGCAGCATAAGCTGTGTCTCTGGCCCCACCTATTTCCTCTTTACAGTATGATAAAGGTGTCATTTTTCCAGTAGGCAGCATAAAGACAAGGTTTTCATAGAAAGATTAAACTAAGAAATTGGAATAAAAATACACTATCTACAGAAACCAAACTTCTTTCAAAACTGTATCAAAGGTAGATCATGGAATCTGTTCAGTAAAAATTATAGACCTGAATTCAGCATTGACACTAACTAGCTAGTTTCAGGTTTTATAACTTTATTTCCATAAAATGCTCAATGGAATAATAACACTTGTGCTGTCTCACTGAGGACTTGAAAAATTCAAAAGGGACTTCTATGCCAGAGGTGGGCATCTTAGGGGAGTGGCATGACCTCAGCAATCTATTATTCATCCATTTATTTTCCATTTTTTAGCTATGGAGACAAGAGTCAGGCAGGAGAGTTTACAGTAAAAAACGCTAGCTACATTGGAATTTGTTCCATATATTTACATTAAAGGTGTTAAAAAAAACCTCTGTGTTACTATGATTCTAATTTGAGTTACGATTATTTCTCCCACAATCTTTTATGAGCAATTTGGGCATTTCACTCCAGAGCTCGTGATTATATAGGAAGAGGTGGCAGTTAAATATTTAATCACCAGCACGGAATGGGCAAAAAAGATTCTAATATACAGTAGTCACTGTAACTGGAACAAATGGCTGAGCATGTTAGCACACCATTCTAATTTCAGCACTTGGAGATAGAGGCAGGTAGATCTTGTGAGTGTTGGGGCAACTTGGTCTACAACATTCACTCTAAAATTCACTCTAAACTAGCCAAGGCAGAATTGTGAGACTCTGTTTCAAAAAACAAAAACTGGTAGCGGCACACTGCTGAGTGACAACGAAGGATGAGCTTCGACTTATGAACTTGGTAAAGCACACAACCCCAATTCTAGTCCCTGGCCTTGTGAGTGTTATTGCCTCTGGAAATTCTTCCATTCAGGCTCTCTGCTTTATTGAGCTGTGTTTTCATAACCATAATGCAACAGGTTCAACTGTTGACCCTGGAGAATCTCTTATCTACAACCCTTCATAATTCTGGTAGAAGTCTTCCACCTTCTTCTTAAAACCATGGGGTCATGGTTACATCTGCAGCTGCTAAGCAGAGGGAATTATGGTTTATCATCTCCCCTTCCCCCAGAATACTGTTCCTACTTAAATTTTCATGGAATTCTCAAAACCTGCAAATTCTGCTGTCTTGTTTTTTTATATTGTGTCACATAACATATTCTAAAAAGCAGCAGGGAAGGACCCATGAAATCCAGATAATAAAACATATGGCATGGAGTATTTGCTAAATTAAAGATAGAATGGTAAGAAAATATTTACCAGGACAGAATTATGTATTTAACTTGTTCTTTTGTCTAGTGCCACTAAAAAGAATATTTAAAATGGAAACAACAGTGAGTACAATTTCACACATCTGTATAAATAAATTGCTTTTTTGCAAGCCACTGAAGGGTGGCTTATACCATTTGACTCATATACTTCCCTATTACCTAGGTTCAACGCTGTAGCTTTTGTAATGTTTTGTCAATTGTTTTTATATAAGTAGAAATCAGCTGTAAATGGAGATGGGAACCTTGCTTTCCTGGATTTGAAGTAGCTGTAGCTATAGCACACTTACCTCCACAAGCCTGCCTGTGTGCTCACGAAATATCACAGCATATTCTTTGATTTCCTTTTCTCGGCCATTCTTAGCAGCTTCAATGAGAACCAGGAGTGGAACTGTCGTGTCCAAGAATGAATCAGATATGTGATCTATAATAGCCTTTCGGAGCTGAGAAGAAGAAAAAAATTCCTTTCATTTCTAAGAAAAAGTGTGTGTTATTTTCCTGCCTAATGATCTCCGTGGCTCTAAAGTTCACTTTACACATCTCTTAAGCAATCCTTACAATCAAAATACGTGGTACAGCATGTGAGCATCCTTTAGAAGCAAGATAAACAAATATGTGGGATAAAAAAGTCAGGCAGCAATAATTCCCTTTCTCCCAAAAGCCTCTAATTTTTATTATTTTATATTTAGCCCATAACTCAAATTGAAAGATGTAATTGAATACTTTTCCCTCAAAGAAATTACATTATTAAAACATTCAGCATATGTACAAATAAAATGCACATATTGTATTTTAATAATTATAAAATATTTTCTAACTTATTGGAAGAATCGACAATACATTTTTATTATCTAAATTACAGACTTCATGGTAATTAAACCAAGTGAGATCAAAAATTGCACCAGATGGTAACAGATTAATAGAGCAAGAAGAAGAATAAATGAGTTTGATGTCCAATTTCCTCTGTTTGCATTAATTGTTCTTGCCCTCACACCTTAAATTATTAAACAACTGTAACATTCTGTCACAATTAGTTCTCTTAAATTAAATTACATGGAAGCTTATAAATGACTTTAGATAACTGTTGTACTCAGCAGAAATTTTCTGAGATTTTGAAATGGTGTTGAAAATTAATTTATTGTATCCTAATATTGAAACTACAGGGATTGTTATATCCTGAAATTGTGCTTTAATAAACAACATCAATGGCCTTGAATGAGCCATAAGACTTTTGGATCTACCTGCTCATTTAGTTTAGCAGCTTCTCTCTATAAATAAAAAGATAAAGATCACATAGAAAATTTGTTGTTTGACTTCTGTGAGGGTTATATTGTAGGATATTTTTAAAACCTGTTGACAGATTAGTTTTAAATAGTGTAAGAATTTCTACTGGTATCATTTCCTGGTCCAGAATGATAGAGCTTCATGTATACAGGGCACTATCTTGCTAGGAATATAGCTCAATGGAAGAACACTTGCCTTCCATGTGTGAGGTCACAGGTTCAATTCCCAGCACTTAAAAGAGTTAGGAAAAAAAAGTATTATCTTCCTATAATATTTGTATTATGATATATGACCTCGACTCATATTGGTAGAGATAGCTGAGAAGCATTATGAAGTTTTTTAGATCTCAATTACATCATAGAATTCAGGAAGACCCTCAGGGGAACTTTCTGCTTACTATGAAGTGCCACTAATGGCAATACGTTAACATTTGCTGGACACTTATGACAGAGTGTAGGAGGTGAGAGGTCACAAGGCAAGGTGAGGGCCATGAAGGAGTGAACAATGTGTTTGCAGTTTGAGGAATGGATCAAGGAGGTCAGGGGCACAGGCTAGGTTTGCAGTTGGGAAGTATGCTGTGTACATTTCAGAAATAGAGTAGAGATATATTGAGGATCTCAAGAACAGGGAAGACTTTGTAGTGATAGCCGCCCCCACCCATCCCATTCTTTTGTGGAACTAACTTGTAACTTAGATGTGAGAGATACCTGTGCACTAGAGTTCATCTATGAAGGTCAGAATATGGGAATTAGTCTAATCAAATGATACGGCTAGAACCTTGATGACAGACACAGGGGAGGAGAAATTCAAGAGTGCAACAGAAAACACCACCATAGTAGACAGGTAATGGAAGAACAGGACTTAAAGAGACTGACAGAATGGCTGAAAATAAAAAGTACCAATTCCAAGAAGTAAAATGTCCTGATTCTCCAAACTGCCAAACAGTTATCATCTCCATCACTGTGGACTCTTTTAGATACCTGACTCCATCCGAGGAAACAAGTGTTTCTGAATGCAATTTCTGTTGCATTATTTTGTTTGTGTTCTGACAAACAAAGCTTTCCTGGTGGAGCTAGTCACTAGTTAGCCATAGAGATCCGGAGAATGTACAGACAGACAGGAAGTAATAAGGCTGGGTAGATAGAGGAAGTGGTAATGCGGATCTGAGACAGGATCTCATTCCGTTTGGTCAGAGGATTCTGAAAGGTATGAAGTGACTTCAGCTGCTCCTTTGCTTCTCTGATCTTTCAGCATTTATCTTCATACCTGACTCTGGCTTTTTATTGATAAGACTAATTAGTACACCTTGATAGCATACCTTCTCTTTTCTGCTTTGCTTGGCATTTACCAAGCGAAACACTTCACAAATAAACTCCCTGCACTGAAGTACTATGCCAAGTGTCTGTTCCCATGAATGAAATCCAATTTAAAACCTTCCTGTGTTGGCCATGCCTGGTCATTCCCCTCTGACAGGGTCCACATCTTCACACGCTAATTTTTGCAGATCATACTCTGTCACCTCTGCTTTGCACACCACTGGATGTAACTCTGTCAGGCCCTACATTTTGCTGACCATGGAAAAGGGATTATTATAGGATAAAACTAGCAAGGTGGCTAGGGACAAAATACAGAAACTCTAGGATGTTCTGTTAGGCAATCTCCTCCATTTGTCTTGACATATTCCTAGGAGATATTCTCTTTACACCTTGTCTCTATATGTATTAATTACATAGCCTGTGGCTTATTTATTTTCAGACTGTCTTCCTATCCCGGGGCCGACTATGTTTCTTTCACTTGGATGGCATAAAAAATAACATTCAAAAGAAGACTCCAACATGTGAGGTTATGGTGCTAAAATTGGAAGTTAGCAGGAAGCCAAACTGAGTTGTGGAGTATGAATTTTCAATAAATGCTTGCTTGTGGTCAGGCATGAATGATGTCAGAGCAAAGCCAAACTGAGGGGCTTTCTATCTGTCTTCACTGTAGCTTAATAAAAGGCTTTGAGGCATCAATTTTTTTTATTTTCCTCTGATGTAAGTGGTTTAGTATCTCAAATAAAATAATATATTTCTCTACAATTGAAACACGAAAGTGAAAGCCCCATGTGGAAAGTATAAGGAAGCATACCAGAGTTATCAAATGAGCGAAAAGAGTAAGTTGTGCGGAGAAGATGTATGGAAAGCAAAGAAAGTATTTCCGAAAATATTTCTCCTCTCAAAAATCAAACAAACTCAATTTTTGTATGCAGACACCATTATAATTTTAAGTAAGTGAGCAAAATATGCTTTGCAAAACTTGACTGATCAATAAGAACTAAACTGAGTAACAATTGAGTGTCTGGTCACTGTGCCAATTTTGTGGGATGTGGTCTCATGGGAACTTAATATGCTGATGATGAGTGGTATAAGAGCTGATAATGGCTTTCCAAGTGTTGTGCTCATGCTTGAGCTGCCAATGTAGGAAGCAAGATGCCTCTAGCCAGGCAACCAAGCAATGAAATAATCAGTTGGGGCATGTGCTTCCTTTGTTTGTTGTTGTCAGAATTCTATTTTAATTGACATAGTACACCATTATTTTAGCCTCTGTGACCTGTAATGCCCTCTCTTAGTAATATAAACAAGTGAAACTTTTAAGCTGCCTTTAGAAATTAAGTATGTTTCATTCTTCACAAGACAGTAGAAGTAGAATATATTTGAATGTGTTGATTTTTTTCATTTACTGGGTGTTCCAATCAATAAGTAGCCAATACCTGTGTAAATAATGGAAGACCACGTGAAAGGATAAAGAAAAGTGAAGTTTTGAAAAATGTGTAAAACAAATAATGGAGAAAAATTGATGACAGTAAAGTCGGTATATTTTGTTGTTGTTTTTTTTAATCAACAGCCCATTTTCCTTGTCCCCAAGTGTGGTGATTATATACTTGGACTTTAGTTGTATTTTACCAGGAAGGCACCATGGTTCTATCAAGTATGTTTAGCAAATTGATACACTTGAGAATTGATATAATACTATTAAATTATTTCTTATTCAAGAATGAAATCAGTAACTCCAAGAATATATTCATTAGAGAGTTCTGGAAATACTCAGCAAGTGAGAAATCTGATCATAATTATCATCCTAAATGTTTACAATCCATTGAGAAGAAAATCCTCCTCAAGAGAAAAACCAAAATATGGCAGAGGAGGAATGACTATTGTGAAAGAAACTGACTTGTTTTTAGAGCTCTCAGAAAATAATAGTAACTCATGCTGAATAAAACATCTAAGGTTGGCTGGATGGAGTAGCATGCACACTATTTTGGAACTCAGGTGACTTAAGATGAGAAAGAGAAGAGCAGGAAACAGACAGGGAGCACAGCACAAGATGCTATGAGAGGTTTATTAGTATACTGAACATGATGAGCTTGCAAATGCGTGCTGAAGGAGGAGATTGCCTTTTGCTGAGAAGTTAGTAGATCCTTCTATCAGAGGTGGGTGAGTACACAGCTCTGATGAGGAGGAACTAAGGAGATTTTAAAAAACAACCTAAAAAAATGTTGTGATCAGCGGTGGTGGCAAATGCCTTTAATCCCAGCACTTGGGAGGCAGAGGCAGGCGGATCTCTGTGAGTTCGAGGCTAGGCTGGACCGACAGCCTCCAAAGCAATACAGAGAAACCCTGTCTCGTAAAACAAAAAAAAAATGTTGTGATCATGTCAAATTGATTTGAGAACACTATGCCAAGATCTTTGACACTATCCCCAATAAAAAGCCATAGAGCAAGAAAGGTGAACCAAAAAGAAACCCAACTATGTCGTGGGCTAGAACATTCCCATCTTCTTATTCCACAATGTATAAAGGCTACTCTTTAGACATTCCTAAGAGATGTATGGTTCCTCTTATTGACCCACCATGCTATGACCTAAAGTTAAGGAATTTGTTACTGATGAAATGGATAAGGATGAATGAGAAAAAAGAGAGGTTCTTGAGATGTTTTTCTAAAAATAAAACCAGTTCTAGAAACAAGAGATGATCATTAAATATTTCAAAAACAGTTTAAGAGCAGGGCTTTGCTTTTGTGAGAAAAGAGCATATGTAAGGTGCTTAGAATAAACTCTTCGATGTTGAAAGTATAAAAAGATGTAGAGATTACTCATTTTGCTGTTTCAACTTTTTTTTTGA